AATTTCATGGAATGATGTCGATCCTTTTTGCAGTGAAAACATTTTAAATAAGTGAGGAAAATTCTATAACTAGGAACAAAAGCTTTGGTGTTTCGTGAAGGGTTTCGTTCGGTCCCTTTATAACTGAAGTTTTTTCGCAATTGGCAAGTTTGAACGTCTTCTATTTTAATCCAATATAAAAATCAATCATAGGTGAGGGAGTCGATTGATTTTTTTGCACGCTACCAAAGTTGCCAAGTCCTTAAAATTACAGTCGCTGCCTATTGTGACCTCCACACCGAAAAAGGGCACAAATTTAAAGGCGATTTCGGTTTGGTTTGATGGTCGGAAAATTGGAACTCGAATTTCGGACGAGACACTCTCTTTTGAAAAAAAATGAGGATTAGTGAAGTTCTTATCTTTCCGGGCTGTCTAGCTCATTTCAATGCGATCATAGGACGGGATGTTGGATTTCATCAGACAATTTGAACCCCGATTATGACAGATAAAATATTTAAATATTTTCGTCCTAATACTGCTACTTAAAACTTTTTTTTTAAATGCAAATTGCAAAACGTAGAAACTCAAAACGAAATGTGTCAACGCCAAAAAAATTACTTGCATCGGAACGTTGTAAAATTCCATTTAAAATATATTTATTTATTTAAAAACTTTTGCCACTACCTATTGGAATTGCATCTGCATCTTGTAAAAAAACTTCAGTGTGATTTACGAAAAATTCCCTGCACTTTTCAATGTGATACAGGTATTTGTAAATGAATGATGAAATAATTTTTCCTATACATTTTTGGAAAGTTGCATTATAACTGAACTGTAGTACACTTACTTCATGTTACTAACTGTCATCGTAGCAAAATCCGCACCGGCATATTGTATTGTTGGACATTCTAATTGAAAATTTTGATGAGTTTAACAGTTCCTTTTGATTATCCGAAAAAATCAGGATAATTTTGAACATATATTACACAGTAGTTCTAAAAAAACTAATTGGTAATGCCAATATTTTGCGACATAGAAATGAAGTTACGTTCTATTCATCTGGGCAATGGTGATTTTTGTATCACAGTACCTTAAGGATACTCTTTTTAAATGCGGTATCAACTCGAATTCTCGGAATTCGATTCTGAGTGTCTATACTGAGACCCCTTTTCTCGGGACGCTGTATACATTCCTGTGAGAATTGGGTCTCATGGCAGTCACACAAAAGTGAGTTACGTGGGTTCCTTGATTCATGAAAGTTTAGTGTTAACAAAGAATTAAAGAAAAATCTGAGGTAGTTTAGGTGAGCCGTCGTCGTCGGAAAACATAAACAGTCATAATGACAACACGCCCGATTCAAAGCTATAAGATAAAAATAGAAAATACAGTCCTCGCTCCGACTTCTATAGCTTTTGACTGTATTCTTTCGTCACTCCCAAGTCTTAGCAAAATTTCAGATAGGCTCGACATTTTTCACCACGGTTAAAATGTTTTCATGCAGGGCGACCTGTAGGAACCTCCCTGAAAAAGGGAGGCATAGTATGTAGACAGGAAGGTTAGAGACGATGATGTGAATTTTTGACTCTTAGTCAAATTTTACAAGATTTCAACTGTTAAAAATCGACGCTCAAGTCGAAAAATGAGAGTACCTCCTATTGCAACGTTACAAGTCCGTCCTCATATTTTATTAATGTTTTTAAAGAAAAAAAAATACAAAAATTTTCGGTAAAGTTATCCTTAACGGTTCGAAACCTTTCACAGTAAATCATAAAAATTAACGGTCTTTATTTTTTTTTTTGAATTTTTCTTACGTCCTTCATTCTACGCAAAAAATGTAGTGAACATTTTCGATTAATGTATTGGTTTATTCATATGTTCATTTAAGGGAAAAGAGAAGGAATAAAAATAGCGGAGAATTTGAAATGTCGCAATTGAGATACTGACTTGGCGGATCGCCGTGCCGATTGACTTTCTAAAGCCAAACATTTGTATCGTCGATGTTCTGTGCTTGAATGCTTATTAACGAGCATACTCCAAGCTTTAATTGATGATGTTTTTGTACAAGTTGAACATTAGTAACAGAAGTCATTAGCTAAGTTACCAAGTACATGAAGACAGGTGTCCTCTGAAACTGCCCAATCCTAAGTTAAATTTTATATCACCTATACTTAAATTTATTTATATTTTTAATTATCACTGTCAATTGGTGCTCTGAAGCCAAGCATTTTCATATTCAATGTTCCGAACTTGAATTTTAATTTAACGAACACACGTCAAGGATGATATGCAGTGAATGGTTGAATCTTAATTTTCGTCGAAAATCTCGGTGAACTCAGTCACGACGTTCGGCAATTAATTTTGCAACAATGCAAATCGAACATGAGTTACGGAAGCCATTAACTGAATAAGCTGTACGTGCCTAAAGGCAGGAGTTCTCTGAAAGAGTGCAATCCTAAGTTAAATTTTCATATCACCTACTTAAATTTATTTATATTTTTAATTATCACTATCAATCGGTGCTCTGAAGCCACCCATCTTCATATGCAATGTTCCGCACTTGAATTTTAATTTAAGGAGCGCACGTCAAGGGTGATATGAAGTGAATGGTTGAATCTTAATTTTCGTCGAAAATCCGGACGGATTTGCCGAAATGTTGAACGGATTAACTTTGCAAAAGTACAAGTCGAACATGAGTAAGAGGAGCCATGAGTTGAGTGTTGCACATGAAGACAGGTGTTTTCTTAATGCCGGAGCATTATTGTGGAGCCTCCTCAAGTAGCCGAGTGGAGAGTTGAGTGAGCCGGCCGGGACGTTTAACTGACGCTTATGGCTAATTTTACCGCAATTACAGTTCGAGTTGAGCCCGGATAATCTGCCCGATTCGCCCGCAGACATTCCACTCTCAAGCTCAGCCCTTTCGTCAGGAGGGCCCGAGACTCCTGTGCTAAGGAAGAACGCCGTATGAACCTTAAAGAGTTGCCAAATTTCCTTCGATAAAATGTTCATTTTTTTGAAAAGTTATGAATATTTTTCCTTGAAATTTTCAGGAACTTTATAGATGAAAGCAAGCTAAATTATCTGAAAAACTGGAAAGAATATATTCATAAGTTTACCAGGAAATTCGTGTTTTATCAAAGGAAATTTGGCAATGCCCGGAGGTTCATACGGCGTTTTTCCTTACCACGGCAGAGGAGGGTCCAAGAGCTCAGTTACTGTCTTGCACTGCCCATTAATACTCTTGAAAAACGATTACTTTCACGGAAAACATTTAGGTAGCTATCACTGGCGGGGTGCACAGGGTTACTTAAAAATCCCGCAACGCCGACACCATGCATCTCTGCCGCATGCTAAGGGAAAACGCCGGATGGGCATTTGTATGTTGCCAAATTTTCTCTTAGAAATTATTTATTTTTGGGAGAGAGGTATGGATACTTTTTCTTGAAATTTTCTGACGCTTTAGATAAAATTACGAAAAACATTCTCTGAACAAATCTGGGGGAAAATATTCACACGTTTTCCCGAAATCTCGTGATTTATTGAGGGAAATTTGGCAATGTCTGTAGGCTCAAACGGCGTCCTTTTTCAGCACGGCAGATTTTCCCTGTAACTTTTTAACAAATTGAGATGGAGACTTGAAATCTTGTGAAGCGACAAAGGAAGCGACTCTTAGGGCCCCCAAAATTTCAAGGGATCATCTTAAAAAGGGGCAAGAGCCATATACATTTATTTTAGGGCTGTCGTGAGACTTTTGGATCTTCCTATGCTTCTGTCGCTGTCAAACAATAAAATCAGGCATTTTGTCAACCCCCAACCGCATAATCAAGTATTTTACTTTGCATGCATTGACATTCTTATTCTTTCGCTAATTTTTAGACCCGGCAATTCATTGCTCACAAACGTAGGAAGTTTTTTAGACCGAATCATTGCTCAAAATCAGGAATCTAGAACATTCTTAACTAGCCGTTGTTTGTGTCACGACTATCTCTTTTTCCCACGGCGGGTTTAAATGGGTGCAAAATTTGTCGATTTACACAGAACAGCAGGATATGATACTCTTTTGTAGAACAGCTTAGACTTACTGCTCAATACTGCAAGAATCGTCGACCTCCTGACATAAGCACGGGAAGTGCGGGCGTATTGAGTCCTTTAAACCATGACTTTACATGGATAACAGCGCGCTGATTATTGAAATTGATAGACAAAGGAGACAACGGGAAATGGAGCGATTTTATTTGTTAAAGTGGGTGGTGTGGTCCCTGTAGACTAAGGAAGAAAATGATGGACTAACTCTGCCGTGCTAGGGAAGAACGCCGTATGAACATTCGAGAGTTGCCAAATTTCCCCGGATAAAACATGTATTTTTGACGAAATTTTTGTGTATTTTTCCTTAAAATTTTCAGCTATTTTAGAATAATGTGAACAAAATAGTCTGAAAAATCAGAAGAAGAACATTTACAATTTCCCCCAATAAATTCGTATTTTATCAGAGGTTGTTTGGCAACGCCTGGAGGTTCATACGGCGTTCTTCCTTTAGCATGACAGAACTGTAAGGTCTCTCGTGGGTTACCGTTAGTTCGCCTATCACATAGCTCCTTTGTCCATTGGAACCATCCGCCTCCACGGATAGGACCCCTCCATATCCCTTATGTCTTTTTTGTCGATAGCTTTGTCTATGAATTTCAAGAAACGTGGAAATTGAGATAGGCCCTTGGGTGAGAGGGACGACGGGATGATGAAGCGACTAAATCCGTGCATTGGCCGTTGGCGCTGTGGCAGGGCGTAACGATGGATGGGAAGATTCTTGAAAGCTGGAAAGCACTCAACAAAGTGAGGTCCTTGACGATTTCGATAAGGAGTCGGGCGTATTTACATGTCAACAAGTGTAGTCGGGAAAGGAACACGAGAGGAGATAGCGGAGCAGCCAGGCCTCAGCGCCATGCCAGTATCGCAAAGTAAATATCGCTCCAAATTCAATTTATCTAAATATCAGGTTGTAAATCATATCCAAGAGTTTACAGACTCAAGCAGTCTCCTTCAGCTTGCCAATTCTAACGGTTGCCCATGGAAATCAGTCACCTGACCCGGGAATAGGCCTCCGCTTTGCCAAACTTCTCAATTTTTCCGTTTTGTCGCACCAGTGCTCTTTCTTTTCGAAAGGATCCCCTAGTTTTGACAAATTTTCTCGAATTTTGATCACTAAATACAGCTGTGGTTCTGTCAGAGGACTCGATTTATGTATCCGGAACGTCTTTAGCCATACATGTGACTCATAAATAGGCTTCTAGTTTGGAAAAATTCAAAACTTTCAACCTAATCGCGACCCATCTCTTCAAGTTCTCTCATTTTGGACATAGTTCGTTAAGTTTGAAAAATCCTTTTGAATTGTGATCATTCGAATGGTAGTGGTCATCCACAACCTATAAAAGAACTCGGTTTTGGCTTCCAAGTGTCTTCAGCCCGACTTGTGACTCGACATGAGCCTCTAGTTTGGAAAATTCAACAATGCGCGGCAGGCCTCTCACCTTGGATGTAGTCTTTCAGTTTAAAAAAAAAAAATTCTTTGTATTTTAATCATAGCGTCGTTGCGTTAATCATAAACTTTATTTATCGTGAATCTGGCCCAAGTTTTCAAAACGGTTATGCTTGACATCGTGTAGTTGTGTGATTTGCAGATGGTTTTTTCCCTGTTTTTGGCGATTTTTTAGTTCGCGTTCATGTTCAGTGCGCTTGATACACCGATGTTCTCTCGGATCAACAATGCAACCGCAGAACATTTTTTACCAGGACCCAATGGGTACATCCTCTCATACTTTAGAACTTTTTTGCGATGAAATGATCTTTGATTTGTGCCGTTTCAAGCTGAAGCGGTGTAATTTTGACGCACCGCACCGAAATAGTAAATCGTTTCACAGATGAAAGAACGGAACTGAAATTCAACATTGCAACTTTTCTACTTATTCATTAATAAGCATATCTAAGTGACGATTTCATAAGACTATTTTTCGCCCTATTTACCGTTGAAACCTATGAAATTTGGAAAGAAATTGCGCTGTCATTTTCGTGTGAACAGGTGACTTGTGAGGGTAGATTTTGGATTCATGTAATGAATAGCGATGAACTCGACAGATTTAACCAAAAGCAACCCACCCATCGATCACGAAAGTGCGAAACCTCGTATGCTCACTGCGTGTCTCAAAATTACAGAAAATACAAAACATAAAACAGCTGTTTTTGGTTTCAAAATCTTGAAACATTCAAAAGAAACTGACCTACAAAAATAGCTCATTTTTACGCATTTCATTAACCTGAAGTTTTATTTTTAAATTTTATTTAAATCCGTTCACAATCAAACTCTTCCTTCAATTGCTTCGATTATGCTGCAAAAGCTTAAAAAAATTCCTCACTGCACTCAAAGAAAATTCAAAAAATTACGGTTCCTTGCACAAATCCCTGTTCACTGAGAGAAGAAACAGCTTGGAGACTGGTCCACCGTGCTGAGAAAAAACGGCATATCGATGACCTAAAAGGAAAAACCACGTATCTAGGTTTCCGACGTTGCAGACTTCCTGTCATACTTTCTTTTTTCATCAGGAAACTAGTGACCGTGTTCTCTTGAAAACGTCTGTGATTTTGCCTCTCTGTAACCAGAATATTCTATCTAAACTTCAAGCTATAAAATCGCCTTGTTTCTTTTCGACAAAATAAAATAGGAGCGGAAATTTTGAAACATCGCAATGGGAACACGTGGTTTCATTATTTGACCATCAATATGATTATTTGGACGTTGCCAATTTTCTTCAAATGAAATATTTTTTAAAACATAATAACACACTGAACACTTTACTTTAAATGTTGTTAGAACACGCCAGATTAACATGCAAGTAAAACTCTCTAAAATATTCCAAGAAAAAAGTTAAACCTTTTTCAGGAAATAAATATTTTATCAAGATAAATTTTGCAAAGTTTAAATAGATGTTCATTTAACGCTTCTTCTTAGCAAGGTATAGTGTTGGCACAAACAATAATAGATTACAGAGTAACACAAGCCTTTGGTTCACTCTGTCTTTTCTCGGTATTTCCTCTATCCTCAATGCTGAAATTTACACAAATTTTCGGTCAGTTTGTAATTCACCTCCCAACTCGGCCGAATAACACACACATGATACATTAGGGTGCTCCTTATTTGTATGCTGAAAAAGGTCTGAAAAGTGCAAATCTCCGGTTTCCGATGTATACCAACACATTAAAAAAAGTCCGGTGAAGTTTTAAACCGATCGGACCTTATTCGGAATTCGCGCCAACGACTTTTTTTTTACAAAATTTTCGATTTGCAAATTTTTACCAAATATGAATTATTTTCACTACGATCAAACATTTTTTTATTCTGTGAAAAATATACGCCAGGACTAAAGAGAAGAACGTACTATTTTACAAGAGAATCACCTTTGAATCGCTACCCAAAAATACCACTGATTAAGTCCAGTCATTAGAACAGATTTCTTCCAACGTCAAAAAAATTGCGCTTGCTCTTCAATAAAATACGCAAGAAGAAAAAAATGCATTTTCCGAAAATTTAAATAGGATTTCAGTGTGATAAAACGAAAACAAAAGAAAAACTTTACTGTATTAAACAATTTCCTTTGAACCATTTTTTTAAGATAGAGAAAGAAAAAATTCCGAAATACATAGACACATCAATGTTTGAAGTGCAACTACAAACGAAAACATTCACAATATAAAATTAGAGCAGAGGAAAACACACGCGCTGGTGACGGCGCAGAGATACAACTATTCGTGCTTGATGGGTGCCCGTGTTGCATATAACTAATTAAAGGCGCGATGGCGCTAAGCGTGAGAGTTAAATAATTGCCTTGCCTCACACTATCCTCCAGAAATTTGGATAGTTCGGAATGCAATAATATTTTAAACATTGGTTCCAGTTATTTCTCCCGAGGAACTTTTAAATGATGTTAAATTAATTGTATATTATGGAATGTTAAAATTCTCTAGTACTTGGTTTCTACTTATTTAAAAGAAAAATAAATCCAATAAATGAAAAATGATTAACCTGGATAATGGTATGAAAAATTGGCAACTTTTCTTGAAATGGAACGATGTTTCTTGTAAATGCATATTTTAACTCACGCATTAATCATTTAGCTTCACCTCCCACCGCTTGAATTACCCAATAATGTAATATCAGTCAGCAATGAAATGAGCATTGAAGTATTCTTGGCAGCCATTTTGTCATTCTGTCCAGATAAAGCCACTTTAGTCTTATAGGACGAACATATTGTTAAAGCACTCGACAACCAAAGCTAAGTGGGATTGACTGGGATGTGAGATACCCATTTTTAAAAAGCCTTGAAAGCCATTATCTAGCAATTTTCTTGTTCCTTTCTTTCCTGCGATCATTGTTATGAATAAAAATAAGATAATGCTAAATAAATATTTAATGCATCGATTATCAATTCTCGTCTAGAGTAACAGCACCCAAACATTTTAAAGCCAATGAATAAATACTTGAGTCATCAAAAATATGTAGCTCCAAAATTTTGATTATTTTCGGTTTAGTTAAATTATCAGGGAAATGTTTGCTAGAAAAATCTTCAAAATTCTCTTCTTTAAGAAGTACTAGTCTCGAATTAGATTTTTTCCATCCAGGAGGCTGTTGGAATTTCATTACTTTGGATGTTTTTTTTATTGCGGTTGCAGTGGTCACAATTTTTAAAAAATATTGAATGCAAGTCTCATTCCGTAATTTTCGTAATGAAAACGACTCAACATAAATTTCCCTGCAACGATCGAAAAAAAAAATCCAATAAGCAGCAGTCCAAGGAAGATCGGTTAAATTATCTCTCGTATCACTTTAGGAAAATTAAGATGCTCTCATATAAGGTCACTTGAGTATGAATGAGACAAGAATTGTAATCAGAATCAAATAACTTGACAACTGAAGTTATACAATGATTTATTTTCAATTGCTTGTGGTAGATAAAGAGATACCCACGTGGCTGATTCAAAGTGCAAAATGATGAGGAAAAACACTAGAATATCTGTATTTACTCTGTCTTCTTCTTACCTCTTTAGTTTAATTGCGAAAAAGTCATGCCCCAAAACAGCCAAAAGCAGGCGAAATGACCTTCCTTTGTGTCCAAAACGCTGCGTGCTCGCACACAGTACATGTTTTATTATAAAAATTGTACGTAGAATTTAATGGACGCATCAAAAATAAACTGTAAAAACTCACGAATGAAAGATAAGAAGTAAGCGTTCTCTGCAATTGTCAATTCATACTTTCCTCTAGCCACAAAACCAAAGTCAATTTGATTCAAGTTGCTCACAAAAATTATTCCAATGCGCATTTCTCTCTTAACCATAAGCATTAAGCTTACTTTTTTCTTCTTGACGATTTCAGAGGTTGCTTGCATCTACGGAGATTGTCGAGCGAGGGATTTTAGATATTTGCAAAACTTATTAGTTTGTTTTCAATAGTCTTAGGTTTTTTTCGGTTTTTTTTTTCGCGAGCGGAAAGTTTGAAACAGAGTACTGGTTTTACTGTGCAAAATTGACATTACTTTCTTTTTACAAGTTAATTTTGGACGTATAATACCTTTTAAACGTGATCTAACCTCGAGAAATTTTCACGAATAATTATAAGCCGTGCTGCTTTAAATCTTACTTTAAGCCGTGGTGAATTACTCCAACCCTAGTTTCCATACGATTGAAATTGTTCCATCCAACAAACAGATGGGCTTGTTTTAAGAAGGCTCACTGCACTGTTCTGCACGGTGCGAATGCAAAGCAAGTTTTCAAAGAAAATTAACTTTGAATTTAGCTGGATTGCATGGCGTCCAATGGACCCGTCTCAAGTTCATACTAGTTTTTCATTCGTCGATCCCCGGACGAAGGGATGTAACTCCATTCCAAAGTCACAAAATTGAGTCGAACAATTCAATTTTTTTCAAGGACATACCTGTTCAATTTTTGTTAAAAATTTGTCTGATTTTTGCATGAGACCAGAGGAAAAATCGGTGAAATTTTCAGTTAAAAAACCCAAGATTCTGTCACTAAAAATGTAATATGCGAGGGAATGTTGGCAACGTTGAAATGTAGTCATGTTCTTTCCAGTGGCGTGGCGTGCTTTGCGATACATCGATTGAGCGGTCATTTAAATGAATGGAAAAGTATAGATAAGCAGGGTGTTCGCAGCGAACACCTTAATAATCGATTATTTACCACAGCTTCAAATGGAGAAATATCGATAGATCGCAAAGTACGTCACGCCACTGGTTCTTTCGTGATGGAAATGACGATCTATACTATGATTTATGTTAAAATTGTGACTTGATATTGCTTTTTTCAAAGACGGACAGATCATTCACAGTAGAAGCCTAATTTCACCGTATACACTGTGCTCTTTCTTGACAGGGTGGTGTGGATTTGACTAGGTTGTTCAGTCCAGTTGTGGGAGAAATTTTGATTGATTAATTTGTTTTCAGTTTGGGCAGATGCCGGCGATTTCCGGGATACAAATCACCACAGCATGGGAATGGAGCACGGGCAGCTTGGCTTCCCTGCTGTCAGAAGTCGGAACCGAGATAGAAAAGGTGAATTCAAAATCAAATTTACCTACATACAAAGGGCATCTCAAAAAATAAACAAAAAAACGTGTACCTACCTTCTAAAGCACAAGAGAACCGCGCAGTTTGCAATAAGGAACCACTCTGGCTCATTTTAGAAACAACATATATCCCATTGGTTTTCCCATGTAGACAGGTTCTTTTGTGGAAGAGCCGGAGAAAGGGTGCTTTATTGAAAAATGTAATCCAATACTAAGTAATGCGAAGTATCTTGGAGGCCCCAGGCAACTCTAATTCAATTCCTTATTCCCTGCACCGAGGCAATGATCTCGGTAATAATAATAAATAAACTTTGTGCGGATATTCCTTCAATTATTATTCTGGCAAAATTGCGCGGATCTTTGATTTGAGAAAGAAGGCAATGCGACAGATGATGTGAAACTTCCGTTTCATCACCAACGAAAACCGAATTTGTTCGGCCACAGTCATACGCATCTTTTATTTATTGCTCTATTTTCTTCTTTTTTCATTTTACATTGATAAGATAGGCACGAATCTTGTTTATTTTAAAATGGGACCAGTTTTGAAAGTTACCACACATTTTGTTACACTACCTCTTGCGCAGTTTTTCTAAGTCTACTGAAAATTTTTGCTTCTCACAGTTTGCCCTTACTCTTAACAAACGGTTTGATAAACTAGCCAGTATTTTAAATGCAGACTGGAAGTATTTTAAAAACGATTTCCAGTTTTGTTCTCACTGGATCTCTGCCCGATCGTGTTACCCGCTGAGAAAGAGCACAGTTTTCCAGATCGAAAAGGATAAATACCGAATGTTGTTTACAGATTTAGATATAGATTTTAAAATCTTCAATATGGAATAAACCCAAGTTTACGAATCAACTATGGTATGCACTACCGTGATGGATGACGTCATACACCGTGTTTTTCCCCCTTCACATTGGACGTAGGATCTTGGCTTTTAAACAGATCTTATATTGTTATTTGCTAACTTATTAGCATAAGCAAAACACACTGAAAAAAAATCCGGCCGTGGAAGCCGTACAGACATACAGTCCGGGTTCCAGGCTTAGAGGTCGAAAGTTCCGGGTATAGCACCCGGAGTATTCGAAGCTACGGCTCCGGCACCCGGAACTATCAGTCTCTAAGCCCGGGACGGACAGTTTTTTATACAGTCGGGATCTTTCTTTTAGTGCACGATTCTGTAACCAGCGTAACTGATCCATCACTGAACTCCACAGTGAAAAAAAAAAAAAAAAAAAACTCCAGCCATAGAGGCCATACTTACGGGCTATATAGACATACCGTCCGGGTTCCAGACTCAGAGGCCGAATGATCCGGGCGTAGCATCCGGTGCAGTCGAAGTTACGGCTCCAGCACCCGGAACTCTCGGCATTTGAGTCCAGAACGGACGGTATGTCTATACAACCCGTAACTTTTTCATTGGCGGATCCAGCAAATTGGCAACATTGTTTTTCTCCATTTAAACCTACGGAAATGTATCGATTCTTGGAGGGGCCAGGTGCTCTGACAAGAATCGATTATTTAACATACGTTCAGACGGAGGGAATCCAGCGTTGCCAAATTGCTGGATCCGCCTCTGAACTTCTTTTTTTTTCAGTGCAGTAGATTAATAATTTTTGTTTGTGTGTACAGTGGGGCGGGTTCTCCCGATCGACCCGATCAAGACGGAGGACCCCTCGGTAGGCGGAAGCGAGGAGAGCGGAGGCGGCGTGGGTGGGGTGGGCGTCGGCGGCGGAGGTGGAGGCGGCAAGGACTCGAAGAACAGCAAGACGAACAAGCGGCAGAGGCGGCAACGGACCCACTTCACGTCGCAGCAGCTCCAGGAGCTCGAGGCCACCTTCGCCCGGAACAGGTATCCGGACATGAGCACCAGGGAGGAGATCGCCATGTGGACCAACCTCACGGAGGCCAGAGTTAGGGTGAGTCCTCACCGCCACTACTTTCATCATTTTAACACCTGGTACACGGAAAAAATGGATAGCTGATTTAACAATTACACATACATACATATAAGTCGCTTTACAGCACTCCCTCGCGCTCTACGACTCCTAACCTCCACTGCTCTCTTTCAAACCACAAATCTTGGGGGATTGAGCACCTTAACATTTCCGCCTCAATCCCTTCCCTCCAACCTTTCATTGGGCGCCCTCTGCGTCTTCTCCCAGGAGGAACCCAGTCAAGGACCTTCTTCGGCAACCTGTCGTGATTTAACAATTAAATTGTCAAAAAATATGTCCGACTTGTTTAAAATGTACATTTTACAACAGTGGATAGCTAACTCAACCACGGGGTGGTTAAATTAGCATTTTTTTATCGTAAAATCTATATTGAAACTTGTTGGACACTTTTTTAAACTACAAGATTGTTAAATTAGCAATTTCATTTTTTTTCCCGTGTATTTCCAATTTTTGCCATAAGCAGCTATGTAGACATACATGGAACTAGACGATTTTTGCATTGGTTGGACTTTGCCATGAGATGAGGAGAAAGTCCGCTGAATTTTCAGACACGACATAGCGCCCACAATTCTCCCGGTAAAAATGCAATTTGCGGAGGGAAATTTAGCAACATTGAAATGTGGCTACGTTCATTCGTGAGGGGACTGACGAACCGTGTCACCCGATGGCGCTAAGGATGTTTTGAATATCTGCTCCTCATTGATAAACGAGGCGCAGTTCGTATGGGAAGACGTGGAAAGGTGCAACTCTCAGGGCGGACTGCGAGACGGGGCCGCGGGGTCGGGGAGGGGGAACCACGAAGGGTGCTACAGTTTGTACACGAAAGGCAAACACGGGTTGGATGGAGAATGTTTAGATTTGAGATGTTAACAAGTTGGCAAATAAGAAAGTGTTATCTGATAAGTGTTATCATCCTGTGAGAGCGTGTTGTGTCAACAGCTCGAGGCTTCCCAGGCTCTGCCTTGTACCGCGTCGTCGTCGGCTTGGTCGCGTCTCGCGCTGCCGCTGCCACCAGCTCAATCAGTGGCAACCGAGGTCTTAGCCTAAGCCCTCCGTCGAATTAAAGCCTTCTTTCAGGCCGCTTCCGGGCATTTCGGGTCCGGGTCAAGGTTCACGTCTTTCGCTGCCCCTATCTCTCATGAAGTACCTATACAGGGTGATCCACAATAAAAAATGGTTGGTAGAATTTACCATTCCTTCACTCTGTATTTCACGCTACGTGAAGGAATGGTAAATTCTACCAATCTTCAAGTCAACTCTGCCAAAGGAATGGTTACCTGTACCGGTATATAGTATCGTTTACCTTTCTTCTGGCAGAATTGACTCTGAATTGACGCTGTGTGAAATACAGCGTGAAGGAATGGTAAATTCTACCAATCTTTTTTTTTCAGTGCAGGGTTAAGGTTTATCTACAGCTGCGTGAAGTAAGAAATTTCTCCGCGCAGGGGGCGCCACCGCTGTGTTTTAGAGTCCGTACAGCTCCACGTGAGTCCTTGAGCTTTTATAAAAGTTGAAGGAATTTCTGTTTAAATCGAAGAGTTATAAGTTCTAGCCATAACATTCTTCTTCCTATTGACCCTAAAAACAACGTGAAAAGTCATTTCTGAAGCTCTGCAATTTGATCCCAGAAAAAAGTAGGGTTAAGCATGATGACCTTGATGCAACCAATCGCGCTTGATCGCTCTCAGCAGTTGGCAGATATCTCTCTCCCACCGTGAGCTGTCTCTCTCGCACTTACAGATATCCCGTAAGAGAAACTGGGATCAATTTACAGCTTTTATTATTAGACTTTCAAAGCTCGCGTTTGTTTCTAAGGATTCCAGACGTATGCTGCTAGAACTTATGAGTCTTAGAATTTAAGATACCTATTGTGATATTTAAATAATCACTGATTTCGGAGTCGGATTTTAGCAGCGCGACGTGGTGGATTTTTTCGGAACCACAGCTGAAGATTAACCTTAAACAGCCAGACTGCAGGAGCCGAAATGCCCCAAAATCCCTTCTCTAAAATGAGATTTCGATTTTTCTCAGATCATTTATGAATTCAGGGCATACCTACATACACATGAAAGTACAAATTTTTATGCGGTTAGGTTCACAACCATTGCTGAAATTCGGGAAAAACTAGAGTACCTGTATAGGGAGAGTAGCGACAGATCGTAACAATTGTATTTGTAAATCGCTCTGGACATTCGAAATTCATAGGTTGGCTGCCTTTTTGGGCCCTAACTTTATTCGCGGAGGCATCAGTAAAGGCCTGATGGACTTTCGGAGTTTCAGATCTGTCGCTACTCTCCCTATACAGGTACTCTAGGAAAAACTATTTACCTTCCGAAATTTAGAGGGGCCGCACAGTGGATCCAGTCAATTAGAGAGGTCGGGCATGAATTTTTTTACTAAAACTGCAAATTTTGATGTTTGATTTGTCACATTTTAAATTTCAAGGGAACCCTCTTCAAGAAAACTTCTCGAGGAATTCAATGGTACCCCTCATAGAGCCCCAAAATTTTGTACAAACGGAGTTATAAGCTTTTGAAGTTTCCAAATTTTGTCCGACCTCTCTCATTAACTCTACCCACCGTGGGCCGTAGCTCTGACCGGGAGCATTCATGGAAAAAAACTTCATACAACAAAAAAGCAATCATGGAGCTCTCAGGGCCCAAGAAGGAAGCCAATCGATGAATTCAATTATCCAAAGTGATTCATTGTCACAATTTATTGTTACAACCCGTCGTTGATAAAGCACGTATTTGACTTAGTTTTTGCATTTAACTCATTTTTGCGGAAGAACGCTTATTTATGGACATTCTCGGCCATTTGAGTTGATATTGGAATCTGAAGATTGGCAGTGATATTTTTCGTTTTCAAAAGTTGGCTGTCCTTTTGGGTCCTGAGAGCTCCATATATAGGTATTCGAATCTCTAACTGCGACTCCGCAATGCCTTAAAGGTTCTTCGGAACGGATCTGCAAACTGGATGACCCAGAATGAAAATAATTACGAGCTAGTTTGGCGAAAAGAGTAATGGGGCTGATGCGCGCAAAAGATACAACAGAGTGAAAAGACTTTTTAGAGTACAAGTGGTATGAAAATCACGATGACAAACTTTAAAAAAGTCTAAATTCACTCCTTCGTGCGAAAGGAGGGGTATCGTTAGGGGCCGTTTTTGGGCACACCTTAGCTGAATTTTCTGGACTCTGCCATTTTTTCTCACTGAATGTAAATCTTTTACGGAGCAAGCCAGGATTTGGTCATTTCATGCTGGCCTATGGCCTGAAGTCTAATTTTGCAAAGTACGGATTTTTCGGCATTCGACGGCATGTTGATTTACAACTCAATAGACGTTATAGCCAATCACGCAATATTTCTAATAAAAATGATGTTCAAGCACGAGGAAAGAAAAATGAATGATGTCAACCACTTAAAGATAAATACATCTGTATATGCATGTCTGGGCCCTCACCTGAGTTCAGCGTTACACAAACGAGGCATTACACTTGTTGAGCACTAATTTAAAATCATTTTTTGCCTGTAAGTGATCTATCAACAGCTTGATTGAAATTTGCTTGAGCAAGTTTAACAACATCCTTTATTTTTTATACATTTATTCAGAGTAATTGCTGCCATAAGCAGTATCCATATTATATTTAAGATTAGAAAATTTAATAGATTAACATACTATCCAATTATTGATTTCATTTACTACCTTTTATTAAAAAAAAATATTCCAAAAAATCTTGAGTTGGATTATTTCTGAAGTGCTATTTTTTCATCTTGCTTACTTTTGATTTTTCCACATAATATTACCTTCCCTGAATGCATAAGAAAGTAGCGATGAATAAATGCATTTACAGAATTCGATGAGGATTCTCATTTTAAGGTCAAAAAAGAGGATAGAAAAAACATTTTTTTCCGTGGCAAAATATTTCGTCGTGCTTATGGTACCTTCAATCACCATTAGTTTTACCAAAAAAAAAGTCTTCCAGGGGTAGAAATACCATTGGGAGAATTCTCATCCCTCAATAATGACCAAGAGATCATTGATTCCCAGCGATTATTTCAAAAGGAAACAAACAATTCGTACGATTTCCTCTCTTAAGATACCGCGCATTAGATACCGTAGTCTAGAGTTCCTTTATACTGAGAGTTAAGACACCCTCCCCCCCCACCCCGGCCCCCTAATGGAGTCACAAACGGGAATAAAGATTACACACATTGAAAGTTTTTCGTAATCTTTGATCGGCCCATTCTCAAATTCCCTTCTCCGTTCCTTCTCTCATTTCGTTTGTTCCGCGGCGAACCCGTAATCCCCCGGTCCATTCCAGATTATAATCTTTGCAATTGGTGAGAATGTAATCTTTGTTCTCGTTTGTGGCACTGTGAAGGCCTAAAATACGGGAACCAATCAGAAATGGATTCACATTGTCGTAACTCTCAGTAGAAAGGGACTCTACCGTGGTCATCTCGTCATCGTTCAATTTCATAAACAAAAGAGAAATTATTCAGTTAACGGCGGGGAGAAAATAATACAACGCTCAACGCTTTAGCCGACGACGAAACCTCCAATTTTTACGCTCCATTTTTTAAGTGGATTACTCCCCCACGTGACACGATCGGGAGAGGGGGAGGAAAATGGGGGTGGTTCAGAGCACGTTTTCCCCAGAGGTCTCCGGATGCATAGACGGCGGATGGGACGTGCGAGATAGCGGGGGAAAAGTTAAATAAGCAAAAAAATGAGGAAGAACTGATGATCGGAGCAGGGTAGCTACCCCTCGCCGTGCCCTGACGACGTCCCTGGGGTCTCGCGGGGCACTTCGGGGTCAGAGGGGAAGAGGGGGAGGAGCTGCGGCGGAGACGCGTCTAGATTGGTTGCGGCGTGGAGGGTGGTACGGGCGGCCCACCCCGCCGAGCTTAAAACCGCGCAACGTCCGTGCGGTCCCACCGTGCGTCCGTTGTTTTTCC